GCCCCCCTCCAGTTTACTTTTTAGAAAAAAAGTTATTTCATTGTTATACAGTCCCCCACAGACCACTTTACTATGCAGCTCTTATTCAGGACTCTTGTCATGCCAATAATACCTAATCACATATTCCTTTTATACAGTTCTCTCCCTTGTCTGTTTCAATGCCATGTACATTATTTATCCCCTCTTTTCTTAGTTTCCCCCAACCCCCTTGTCAGTCCTGTTTTATAACAGTGGCATTATGCAGTATTTGTCTTTTTGTGACTGAGATATTTCCTTCAGCATAATGTCTTCTATGGTCAACCATTTTATAGAATATTTCATGGTTTTTCTTTCTCAGTGCTGCATAATATTCCATTGTGTGAATATACTACAGCTTCTCTGTTCATTCATTAGTTGATGGGCATTTGGGTTGCTTCCAACTCTTTGCTATTGTGAACAAAGCAGCAATACACACGGGTGTGTAAAATCTATCTTAAGAACAAATTTGAGGTCTTAAACACTATTGACCAAAGACTAGATGAGTTGTGGGATGACGTCAAGGTATCATCTGGGGGAAAAGGCAAAGGTCATTTATTGCAAAGAAAGAAAGAAAAGGAAAAACCAAAACAGACATCTGAAGAGACTTGAAACTTGCACTAGAACACTGAGAAGGTAAAGCCAAGGGAGGAAATGTTGAAATAAATGATCTGAACAGAAGATTTCAAAGGTCAGATTTAGAGGATAAAACAAAGTATCATAATAAAATGTACAAACTGGAGTTTGAAAATGAAATAGGAATAACACATTCCTCATTTCTCTAGCTGAAAGAACAAAAACAAATTCAAGCCTCAAATTGTGATACTGATTCGATGGACAAAATCTTGAATGATGCAGGAAGTATTAAAAGGAAATAGATGGGACACACAGAATCCCTGCACAAAAAGGAATTTGTAGACACTGAACCATTTCAGGAAGCAGCATAAGGAACTTCCTTAATAGTAATTAAGTAGCATTTCCTTAATGGTAATTAAGGAAAAAGCCCAAATTTCATCTTATTTGGATCAACAATTAACATCCTTGGTACTAGCAGTCAGAAAATCAGGAAAATCTGCAGTTATGGACCTCACCAAATTATTGAGAAGAGATGTCAGTTTTAGGGCTAAGGTGTGTCTTATTCAGGCTATGGTCTTTCCAATCACTTGCTGTGTATCTGAGAACTGAGAAATGAATAGAGATGACACAAGGAGAATAGATGTCTTTGAGCTGTGGTGCTGGAGAAGAGCACTGAACATCCCATGGACTGCCAAAAGAACAAAAAAATATGTCTTGGAAAGTGTAGAGCCAGAGTGCTCTTTGGAGGCAGTGATAATCACGCTTTGCCTTACATACTTCAGGCATGTTGTTAGGAGGCGCTAATACTTCGAGAGGGACACAACGCTTGTAAGGGTGAGGTTTGGTGAAGGAGAAGACCCTTGACCAGATAGATTAATGTGGTGACTGCTACATGGTGGCTCTAGCATGTCAGGAAGTGTGAAGAAGGCACAGGATAGCATGGGGTTCAAATCTGCTGTTCATAGGATCTCTGTGAGCCATACTCGTCTCGATGGCACCTAAAAACAACAGCAAGGAAAAAAATTCAAAACTGCACTATGGGGGTGGGGAAGGAAGCAAATGGGAAGGATTTAGGCAAAAAGGATAATGATGGGCAAGATCCAATGGTGATTAATTTTATAAAACATAACACATGAGAATGATGGTATGAAACACAATGTGAATGAAGAATAGTGTGAAATAAAACACAAATGGACTTTGTAAGCAAATCAATAAAAAAATAGTTAAAACAAACAAAACACTGTGTTAAAGGCACTGGCAAATAAGTAAGGGCCCAAGAATTGATGGAATACCAGTTGACATGTATCAACAGACAGATGCAACCTTGGATATGCTCACTAGTCTATGCTAAGAAATTTGGAAGACAGATACCTGGCCATCTGACTGGAAGAGATTAATTTTTGTTCCCATCCCCAAAAAAGGTGATCTACAGCCTGTGAAAATTATTGAACATTATTTTTGTATCATTAGTATACCATGCAAGTAAAATCTTGCTGGAAATAATTTTAAAAAACTCAAAACAAGCAAGCTGAATAGTACATTAAAAGAGAAATTCCAGACATTTATGACAGATTCAGAAAAGACTGTGGAAGGAGGGATAGATCATTGTTGATGTCAGAAGGAGCTTGGCAGAAAGCAGACAGTAGAGATGTTTATCTGTATTTCATTGCAAATAAACATTTGACCATGCTTGGAACATAGCAAATTATGAATAACATTGAGAAGAATATGAGTCATAGGACCCTTAATTGTGCTCATGAAAAACCTGTATCTAGACCAAGAAGCAGTTATCCAAACAGTCCAAGGAAACACTGCATGGTTAAAGTAAAAAAAGGCATGGGTCAGTGTTGTACCCTTTTCCCATACATATTTAATATGTATGCTCAGCAAATAATTTGAGAAACTGGACTATATGAATAAGAATGTCACATCAGGATTGGAGACAGGCTCATCAACAACCTGTATTATGCAGATGAGACAACCTTGCATGCAGAAAACGAAGAGGACTTGAAGCACTTGTTGCAGACTAAAGACTACAGCCTTTACAAATTACATGTAATATGGATTACACCTTAGTCAATAAAACAAAAATCCTCACCACTGGTCCAATAGGCAACATCATAATTGAAGTTGCCAGTTATTTTACTTGGATCTGCAGTCAACACCCAGGCTAGCAGCAGTTAAGAAATAAAAAATGTGTTGTATTGAAAAAAACTCTGTTGTCAAGGAAGGCTCTCAGTTTAAATATTAAAGTGTCTCTAAGGCAAGCCAAGAGAACAAATAGTTATGTCTTGGAGAGGGTGCAGTCAGAGTGCTCTTTGGAGGCAGGAATGTTGAGGCTTTGCCACACATACTCTGGGCATGTTGCTAGGTAGGAAGTACTATTCCTTGGAGAAGGACATGATGCTGGGAAGTGGAGAGGCTCCGCTAATGAGAGGAAGACTGTCAGCCAGGTGGATTGACATGGTGACTGCTGCAATGGGCTCTTAGGTGTCAGGAAGTGTGAGGGTGAGTCAGGATAGAACAGGGTTCAGATCTTTTGTTCACAGGGTTGTTATGAACCATACTTGACTCAACGATACCTAGGAACAATAACAATCAAAGCCATGGTATTTTTATTGGCTCGCTATGTATCTGAAAGTTGGGTAATAAATAAGGATTACAGAGGAAGAATTGATGGCTTTTGAATTGTAGTGTTAGAGAGGAGAACTGAATATCCCCATGGACTGTCAAGAGATCAAACATGTCTGTCTTGGACAGCTAGAGTGCTTTTTAGATGCAAAAATGGTGAAGCTTCTCCTCTTATATACCACAGGTATGTTGTACTTGCAAAAGAAGAAGAAGAAAGAAGATGGAAGGAGGAAAAGGAGGAGGAGGAGGAGGAGGAGGAGGAGACATCTTGCTGGAAAGGGTAAGAGGAAGACTCCCAAAAAGATGGGTTGACTTAGTAGTGACTCTAACAATGGGCTCAAGTATATCAGTCACTGAGAATGTTACAGGACAAAGTTCAGACCCGTTGCTTAGTTACTGTGAGTTGTAATTAAGTCAGTGGCACCTAACAACAAACTCTATCTTTCTCTGATAGAGCAACTGGTGTGTTTGAACTGTAGACATTTTTGTGGTTTGCAGCTAGCTTAGTACTGTTAACCACTTTATCACGAAGTAAAAAAAGAAAATTCTGAACATATGAGAATTTTTACAAATTATTGCGAATTTGCAAATATTCCTATTGTTAGATAGAAAAAGAGTTGAGGAGGAGAGGGGAGAAAGAAAGATGCTGGTCCCAAGAATTGAACAGGCCTTTATTGCATTGTCTGAGAGGGAAGCCAAGTGACCATGAGGGAAGAAGGTCAAAATGGCAGGAGTTAAGTGTAGTTTCTTTTTATAGGGGTCTTAGGAAGGACTAGTTAAGAGGGTATTTCTCTTGGAATTTGGAACTTGGGTTTGGACTTTTTTGATCTGGCCCAGATCCTTATCAAGATCCATTGTCTGGCCTAGTCTTTTGATAAGGCCACCTTAGATCTTAAAAGGGACTGCAATAGAACTGATGATACACAACCTGTATTCAGAAAGGATTTCATACAGCATTATATTGAGAACAATTAAAATAATACTTAACAAAACACATAACCTAAATTTAACCTAAAGCATAGTCTGGTGTGAGTGAACTTTAGAGTCTGTTTCCCAAAATCGATTACATTCTTCAAATTAGCTCAAAGTCCAAGGCAAAATGACGCTATTATTATTTTGATTATTGCTTGAGTCAAAGTCAATTTATAGAAACTAATTTTTTCAAGGCCCAAGGTTCAAAGGCTATCTTAAGTGCAATAGTCCCAGAGTTATTTGCACTTAGAGGTCCTTGACTCCAAAGACCCCAGAAATCTGGATTCTAGTATTGGTTTCTCACAACTGTTTATTGTGAATTCCCCACAGAATCTGCAATGGTGGTTGGTTACATGGTTAGAAAAATCAAACCTTATTTCTTTTATGAGTCTGTGAACAACTTCAAAGTTCTTAATTGTTTCTTCTAATAAAAAACTGCTTAAATGTTCTGTTTTTAAAAAATCAATTAATTGTAAAGGGATAAAGTTGGAGTGCGAAGGCAAGAAAGTATAGCTAAGCAGATTGGATATGGAAAAAATTTTGCTAGTAACTAAATTAGGAAAACCAATACCACACTACAGCCGCTTTGTGAAGTTAAAAAGACTACATGCTCTCACATGACGTCAGCGTGGCCTCTCAGTGCCTGAGGATGCGCCTCTCGCGAGAGGAAAGACGGACTATGCCCCACGCACTCCCCGCCCTCGCCCCCAGCTCGACCCAGCCCCTTGCGTGTGTGACGTCAGGACGTCATGAGTGTCGGCGGCGCGGCGTTGGGGGCGGGTCCGCGGCCGTGCGCTGGTGGAGGAAGTGTTGCGGTGGCTTCTCTCTGCGCCCACTGCCAGCTCTTGGGGCGCAGAGAGGGACCTCACCGCCCCTGCCTCGCACTCTCCTCCTGCTGCTCTTCATGTGCCCAGGAGCCACCTTTCCCCTTCCTCAGGCCACCGCTTAACCCGGGGTCTATGGAAGTAATGGAAGGACCCCTTAATCTGGTAAGTGACCCACAGAGGATCACGTCCTCCCTGGGGTTTCTTTGCCTTAAGAGTCTGATCCCGCGCCCGGCGTGCCAGCAGACCTACGAGGCCTGGAAGCGTCTTTGGAGGGGACGGTCCCAGAGGCGGGGGGCAGCAAGCAGGCCGTGTCCCTCAGAGGCTCGGAGTACGCCACTCAGACTTTGTCCCCGACTCGGGCACTTCCGAGGAGTTCCTGAGTCCCCCTCACCGCGGTGGCCGGGCCACCCCTGCTGCAGGGCCTTGGCCGAGGGGAGGTCACCAGCCGGTGGGTGCCGACACCTTCCCGAAAGGCCGGGGCAAAAGCCTCAGACGCCACGTAACTGCTACCTGGGGAGGCAGTGAAGCCCGTCAGGGCACAAAAGGGGTCTTATCCTGATGGTAACTTCTAACACAGGGGTCCTCAGGCTAGGCCTTTCCATACTTATTCCTAGTAAACATTCAGATGCAAAGTGAGCATCTCTCATTACTTCACCTAAATTAGAGATAGCTGGGTTAAAGAAGCATCCTTATTTTGTGCTTATTTTCATCACGTTCAACATCATGAGAATATGATAGAGGTTTACCTTTCTCAGAAGTGCTGCTAGCCCATTCTCTATTATAGTTTTAGTCTTTTCAAGGGTTGCCGTTAAAAACGCAAACACACTTAGTGCTTTCTGGACTAGTCACTGCATCTTTTGGTTTCCTAAAGATGGATACCGGTTTTGGATACAGTTAAGGAGAGCTCAGGTCACTTAAGGCTGCAGACAGAAGTACCTTTTTAGAGTAACAGGTATGCTATTTCCTTGTGATCAAAAGAGAAGACATAGACATAGTACTTCAGACTGAAACCTTGAACTCTTCTAGTGTGTTGGAAGAGCCCTAGCCTGGGTCCTAACTTACAGAAACAGTAGACCCTGATGGTTAAAAGCATAAATTCTGCAGTCAGAATGCTGGAATTTAATTCTAGTTTTGCCACTCAGTTAGTTGTATGACCTTGGGCAGGTTACTTAACCTCATTAGGTTTCAGGTTTCTTTTAAGCTTGTTGTGAGGATTAAAGGAGTAAATAAGTGTAAAGTCCTTAGAACAGTACCTAGTACACATAAGAGTTAGCAATTATTTTAACCAGACCATGAGGCTTCATCTTACATACTTTGGACATGTTGCAAGGCAGGATCAGTTCCTGGAGAGGGACGTCTTGCTTGGGAGGCTGGAGGGGGACAGCGCAGGAGAGGAAGACCCCCAATGAGATGGATTGATTCAGTGACTGGGGTAATAGGAATAGGTCTGTTGAGACAAGATTGGCAGGGTTTAGGGCTGATGTACATAGGGTCGCTATGAGTCGCAGGCAACTGGAAGGCGCATAACAGTCTTTAACGCAAAATCTCATTTGTAGAATGAAGATTTGCACTTGTTGAGCATTAAAAAATGAAATATTTCAGAACCTAAAACTGACTTTCTCAAATATTGAGTCCTAGGTTAGTTATACTCTGAGTATCTTTACTATACTCCCACTGACAGGAGTTGTTTACGTTTAGAAAAAATTTTGAGAGGAAGACTCAGAAATCTCTTGGATTCTTTGTTTTTAAGATGACATAAAATTTGCTGTTAATGGTTGGCATAGTATTGAAACTTCTTATTAAAAACAACAAGCAGTTTACAAAGGGCTTCAAAGTTCATGGGCTCTTGCAAAATAAGCATTGGTTCATTTCCAGTTATTTTTCACATTATTTAACTGCAGCCTGCAGGAGAGCCACAGCCAAATGCTTCATGCTTGTTTGGTGGATTATAAAAAGACTAAAGCTGAGTTAAGAATTAATTGTAGGTGGAGCAACAAAATACTTGTTTAGGAAAAGTAGTTAGATGATGGAAATAGTCTTTTTTTGAAGGAGAATTTTAAGAAGAGTCCTGGTAAGCAGGCTAGCATGATCCCATAGTTCATTCATTAAATATATGTGGACAAGTTTAAGAAATTTGGTATCTTGTTCTTAATGTGAAATTTGAAAAGAAAAAAAAAATCCAACTTCCACCTCAGCTTTTTACTGGTAAATAATGATGAAATAGAGATTAGCATTTACCCAATTGTTTTTAACTGCTGCTAAGCACCAATGATGGGTCCGTGAATTTGTTTATATTCCTGGTTGTAGATGACTTGGGTTTTGAAGACTAGCTTTTTAAGTGCTATTCAAATTAGTGTGAGGTCGTAGCAGTTTGAGAAGTAGTTTGCAGTGCTGTGATTCAGTGAGTGAAAATTCCAAGTCATACATAAATTTTTGTTACAGTTCTCAGTAGCATGTAAGTTTTTCTGATGACCACCTCACTCACGGGGTTTGAGTCAGTTTCGACTTCTAGCCACCTTCAATCAGTTTTCAAGGCTGTAAATGGAAATGAGAGAAGTCTGCCCATCTTTCTCCTGTGGAGCAGCTGTGGATATGAACCAGAGATTTACACCCTTTAGATCCTGTGACATCCTCCTCATCTCTGACACACGAGAGCCCATTGGTACAGTCCATTTCAATGGGGGTCTTCCTCTCCTTCACTGACCCTCCATCTTTTCAAGCATGCTGTTCCTTTCCAAGGAACAGTCTCGCCTAGCTACATGTCCTAAGTATGAGAGCTGAAGCTCCACCATCTTTGCCTTGAAGAAGCACTCCGACTGTGCTTGTTCTTTTGGCAGTCTATGGGACATTTCGTGCTCTTCTCCATCACCACAATTCAGAGATCCCGGTTCTGTCACCCTTAATCATTGTCCAGTTCTTTGACAAATTAACAGGTCAGTGAGAGGACCATGGCCTGAATCAGGTGCACCTTAGTCTTAAGACTGACATCATTGCTCCTAAGCATTTTGGAGAAGTCCCTAATAGCCACCTTGCCCAATGCGGCATGTTTCCTGATAGCATAATCCAAATTTGTTATATTAATTACGACTCATTTTACTACACGGGTTTGTGATCCAGCACCTTCAGAGCTCTTGGACTCTTATAAGAACTGCTTTAGAGTTTTACAGATGAATAATCCTAGGCAGAATTAAGTAATTACTTAGCTAGTGATTAAAATACAGTATGAGTTTTGCCTTATCTTGATATGACTGACCTCTTATGGTCATATCAGTGTTTACTTCTTTACTGTGCTCATTTAAAAATTGTTTCCATTTCTGTATGTTTCTCATTTGTGCTGAACTGTAGGTTCACTGATTTTTTTGAATTTTATTTTAATGTTTAAAATTATCTACAGTAAATACCTGTAGACTTGGTTCCTCTTAGACCTTAGTGTTTTGGGGTTTTTTTTTGTCACTGCAAATTGTCAGACCTTGGCTTTTAAGATAGGATGGAAGACACTCAATTTAAAATGTTTTACTAGATAAAACATAATGCGTTTTAATTCTCTTCTTTATGAAGTTTGTCAAAAGAGAAAAAGGTAAATTGAAAAAAAAACACACAGACTTTGGGCTCTGATGAGATTCTTTTTACCTCATCAATTTATCCTTCAGATTTTTCAATATATGGAAAAATTAAAACAAAATTACTTAACTTACATATAAGTATTTCTTTCCATCATTTACTCCCCCCTATATATTTAATTTTGGTAATATGAATTTTGTTAGTAAATGTCAAAACTAGTTTGAGATAATTCCCAGCTCTTTGACTTTTTTTTTTTTTGGGTCAACTTGGGAAGTGATGTCAGATCTTAGTAATATATACACACATGACTGGTATTCATGTTTGTTTTCTTAGGCTGCATACTCTTAAGGAGAAGGACCATGTGACTGCTTTGGCCACAGTTGTATTTCATGTGTTTACCTTTAAGAGTACTGAGAAAATACTTGTTGAATAGCTGAGCTTCTGCCTAGAATAGTCCGATCACGTGAGGTAGTTAATAAAGCTTCTTGCTTTTAAGTTTCTAATTAAGAAAAAGAATCTGATGTCATTGCTGTAGACATACCTGGAGTCTTTGTAACTATCCCACATTAATTATATGGCTACTTCTCTCTGTTTTGTGATGAATGGTAATATATTTTCTTTAATTTTTTTTTTTTTGTAAAATCTTTTAAAATAAAAAGAGGCATTTTGAAGGCCCTGAGGTGTCAAGGAAAATTGATCACATGTTCCAGCCTTTGCTAGGCTTAATGACATACTTTTTTTTTTTTAATGACATACTTTTGAGAGTACTAAAATGCACCCAGTGATTGTTGAATGCTGGGATTGGAATTGGGTGTGTTTTATATATGAAGGGGGTCCACCAGGGATGTGTTCTGTCTCCATACCTTTTCAGTCTCTATGCAGAACAGATCATCCAGGATGCTGGGCTATACAAGGAAGAATGTGGCATCAGGATTGGTGGAAGATTCATTAACAACTTGAGTTATGCAGATGACACAACCCTGCTTTCTGAAACTGAGGAGGACCTGAAGCACTTGCTGCAGAAGGACAAGGACTATAGTCTTCAATATGGATTGAAGCTCAACATCAAGAAGACAAAGATTCTTACCACTGGGCCAATTGGCAACATCAGTATGGATGGTGAAGAGATTGAGATAGTTGACAGTTTTAATTTGCTTGGCTCCACAGTCAACACTCTTGGTACCAGCAGCCAGAAAATCAAGAGACAGATTGCACTGAGAAAGTCAGTTAGCAGCCAGTTGCTTACCCGCTGTCCTACCAGGTCTCCTTAGGATTTGACAATAAAAAAATAATTTGATGACTCTTCTGTTAAATTTGTGATGTTGTGATGCTGCTACTTTTTTGGTTGTGATGCTCTATGATAAATTTTTGCTGTGAAGGACCTCTCCAGAGTGCTAAAGAGCAATGACGTCAGGCTGGAGACTTAAGATGTGCCTGACCTGGGCTATAATCTTTGCAGTTGCATGCTATGCATCAGAGAGTTGGACGGACAGTGACTAGAGATTATAGAAAGAGAATTGATGCCTTTGAGCTATTTTGCTGGAGAAAAGTGTTGAATATACCATGGACTGTTAGGAGAATAAACAGGTTTGTCCTGGAGA